AATCAAATGATCTCTTAAGATTCTGCACGGTCCCAGAGTTATGATTTTATAACATATAAAGTATTTTTAAGTACTACATGATGAGAAGAAACAATACAAAATTGAATAATCATCCACTTTTTAGAAGTCAAACCAAGCATTAAAACCAATAGTAATATTACCAGTTCTTTATGCCATTGAGTCATAAATAACATATGCCTGGTATGTTTAACATATAATATGCCATAATAACATATAATAATAACATATGCCATAAGCTGTTTTCTAATATAATAGTCAAGGATCACAAATCAGAAGATTGATATTATTTCCATTTGAATAAGTATGTTTTAGAAGCAATGAGTAAAGGTATGTATACCAGAGTGACACTTTGTGCTATATTAAAATTATACCACTTCAAGTGGTTGCTTTTATTCCTTTCACTCTTCTTTTTTAAAAATAAGATTCTGTAAGAGCTACATTTCAAATGAGACCTGCATTATGTATATACGCTAAAAGTCTGCTCTTGTTAGCGTGAATCTAATGTTACATAAAAGCCGTTCTTTAACTTTATTTTTCACTTTATATTATTCAATTATAAGAATCAACACTATGAAATAATTTCTCATAGGATTTATTTTTTCACTGTTATTGTAAGATGTTTCAGAGACATTTATGTTAAATCCAAATTTAAAGATTTTAACTTTAGTCCCTAACATGTTACATTTTGCTAGGACCAATAATGCTATTTTTATTAAGTAAAAGTTCAATATAACTCCATTAACTTAGAAATAACTTAAAAATACAAACATGTAACTTAGGGTATTTTTAGTATTTGTGAAGAAATGTTTTGTTTTATTGTTTTTATTACTTTCAAGTTACACAGTATATGAAGCTAACAAACTGTTACAGAGTAAAAATAATTCTATTTTCAAAACTAGATAAAAATTGCTTTTAATTATTTAAGTGCATTTAACATATATATGTAGATATATATACACATACACACACAAAAAAGAGAATATTTTCAATTAAGAAATAGAAATGCAGGGGTTGCCCCGGTGGCATAGTGGTTAAGTTCACATGCTCCACTTCAGCAGCCCAGGTGTTCACCAGTTCGGATCCTGGGCAAAGACCTACATACCACTCATCAAGCCATGCTATGGTAGCGTCCCATATACAAAATAGAGGAAGATTGGCACAGATGTTAGCTCAGGGACAATCCTCCTCAAGCAAAAAGAGGAAGATTGTCAACAGATGCTAGCCAGGGCCAATCTTTCTCACCAAAAAAAAAAAGAGAAAGAAATAGAAATACAAACATTTCCCCAGAATTCCTTTCAGACCGTTTAGCAAAATATTTTAACATATAATTCAAAGACAAACTTCACCACTACCAATGTCTAAATTAATGAGATTTCACAATGACTATTTAGTTATACAAATAGACTTAACATTTTCAAGATTATACCCTAAAGCTAACAAGAAAAACTCCATGGTAACAAAGGGCTAGCAGAACTTGGGTTAAACTGAACTCACCCCCTGAATTGCTTGACATACTTTTCCCTTCTAATTTACTCTTCTAAGAACACTATTAGAATCATAAAATCAAGCAAATGCTGTGATCAAAAGGACAGAAGCTTTGGAGTCAAGAACTCATGTGTTTTCTACCACTTACTAGGTATGTGATTGTAAGTAAGTTATCTAAATTCTCTAAGTTCTAATGGTAAAATACAGGCAATTACACAGAGGTATGGTGAAGATACCATTTAGTGAGTTAATATATATATAAAACATCCAGCACAATGTGTGGAACAGAGCAACAACTCAAGAAATGCTATTTCCCCTATATCCACTGCCCTTTAAGCCCCCTCTCCTCTACTTGCATACTCATCTCCTGATAAATATAAACAGGTGGAGGAATGTGGATCCTACTCATTACGTAGAGGAAAAGACAGTCCAAGATTTGAGTCTTTAAAAACACAGCAAAGAAAAACACCAAAAAGTCAAAGAATCCCACAACTTTAAGAAAATCCTTAAAGACTGCCTCCTCAAACAACAATATGGTCAGACATGCTGGTGAGAGGGTCAGCTATCCTACTGTCTTTCTTTATATCCACTAAATTTTAAAACGAGAGTCATTTACAATGTATGCATTTACAAAAAACTATAAAAAGTAGAACCACTTGGTTATCTGTAAACACGTGAAAAGATTTATTCGCAAAGAGAAAAAGGCAAAAGAAAATTATTTTTTTGAAGTGTATATGTGCAACAGTTTATGAATTTTATTTCTATAATCCCAGTAGAATCTGCTGTTGATGCAATACTGAAAATTTCCAGATTTATTAAAGGAATGCCCAGAGTGACTCAAATTTTCCTATTCTCACCTTTAAAATGCTCATTGATTCCAATATGATATTTAATACAAAGTTGTAATAAAAGCCATAGTATAAATGAAAGAGGTAGGATCCTAATATTCTGAGTTGTACACATAGGATAGATGGCACTGCCATTCACTGAAATAAGGAATACTAAGGTGAACTGGGTTGAGTTTGGTTGTATTGAGGAGATTTTTAATTCAGCATTAGACATGGGAAATTTAGGGTACTTCTAAGACATTGAAGAATGTCAAGTAGGTAACTGATTACATGGCCATACAGTTCAGAGAAGAAATCTGAGCCAGAGTAATAAGTGTAGGTCATACCCCTAGGTGATCTGCTGAGCAGTGTTCAAGGAGGGATGCAACATACCCTGGGGCCATGCCTTGAGTAACTCCAAAATAGACTGGCTGAGTGAAGGAGAATGAGTTTACAGAGGAGTGACCAGAAAGAGAGGAGTAAGCTCTGGCATCTTGGTCCCAAAGGCCAAGAGAAAAGAAGGAATATGAAGTCTGCAGAGTCAGATACTGTGAAGAGGGCAACTAGGAGCTGCTAAATTTAACAATGTAGATGTCAGTGGTGATCTTACAGATACCTATTTCAATAGTGATGAGGCAGAAGCCAGATACATGTGGGATGAGAGGTAAGTGGGAGTTGAGGAAAAGAGTGAACATAATCACTCTTAGAATAAGTTTGACTAAGAAACAGAAAGCAAAGACAGTAGTTGGGAGAAAATATGGAGATTAAAACAGGGTATTCTGGGGTGGGCGGAGAGATGGGGATTGTTTTTACAAGTCAAGATTTAAGCATATTTAAAAAGTGAACACAGGAGCCAGTTGAGAAGAAAAGGTAAACATAATACAGACAGTCCCTGACTTCATGATTTTTCAACTTTACAATGGGGTGAAAGCAAAACTCATTCAGTAGAACCCATACTTCAAATTTTGAATCTTTATCTTTCCCCAGGCTAGCAATGTGTGGTACGATACTCTCTCATGATGATGGGCAGTGGCAGCCAGCCACAGCTCCCAGTCAGTCACAGGATCATGAGGGTAAACAAGCCATACACTGACAACAATTACGTGCCCACACAACCGTTCCGTTTTTCACTTTCAGTACAATATCAAACAAAATACATGAGATATTCAATGCTTTATCATAAAATAGGCTTTATGTTAGATGATTTTGCCCAAGTGTAGGTTAATATAAGTCTTATGAGCACGTTTAAGGTAGGCTAAGCTAAACTATGACGTTTAGTAGGTTAAGTGTATTAAATGCATTTTCAACTTACAATATTTTCAACTTACGATGGGTTTATCAGGACATAACCCCATCATAAGTCAAGGAAAATCTGTATAAAAAATAATATAAGATTTTGGGCAAAGTAAGAGATGATGGGATACAAAAAAATAGGCACAAGAAACAGATTTAGACAGGACAAGGAAGTAAGGAAAGAGAATGGGTACAAATGTAGTGGATTTGGATATCTAGTCCCCCCCAAAAAAGGGGAGTTGCCACCTGATGGTTCTAATTTTTTCTGTAATGTAAGAGAGGTCCATCTGCTGATTATGGTGAGAGAGATAAGGGAATCAGAGATTTTAAAGAAGTGGAGAATATTTGAAAAGTCGTGTAGAAAGTAAGAGTAAGTCTAGACCAGAGAAATGCTACCTATCACAGTTTCCTTAAGAGTTTTAACAAATCAAGCCAGTTGTGAGAGTTATGTGAGAATATGAAATTTACATGGTCTAGCCAGGATTACAGAAACCACACTAGTAACCCCTGTTGGAGATGCAAACAACGATCAAAGCCAGATTAGAAATATTAAATTTTAGATCAAAATTTAAATCTTAAGGGCTGGCCCCGTGGCCGAGTGGTTAAGTTCGCGCGCTCCGCTGCAGGCGTCCCAGTGTTTCGTTGGTTCGAATCCTGGGTGCGGACATGGCACTGCTCGTCGGACCACGCTGAGGCAGCGTCCCACATACCACAACTAGAAGAACCCACAACGAGAAATATACAACTATGTACTGGGGGGCTTTGGGGAGAAAAAGGAAAAAATAAAAAAATCTTTAAAAAAAAAAAAATTTAAATCTTAAAACAGTAGAAAACATAATTAAAGTAATTAGTAAAAACAAGAGTAAATCAAGACAAGTAAAGTCAGAAGATTCAGGTAGATATTTACAGACCCAGAAATCAGCCAAAAAAACAATAGGACAAAAACACCACAGCAAATATCAGAAGGACTTTTACAGGCAAACCCGACTGCTATTTTCTAAGTTAGTTTGCTTCCTTCTAAGACAGTAAAAGCCAATTTCTAGATAATACTGGCCTGCCACTTTCTTAACAAGGAATTCACAGTGAATCTGGTGGACATTGATGAGGAGAAGTAAAGATAGCTTTTGACAGAATTTTTTGGAAAACAAACAGTTCAAATTGTTAAAACATGGAGACATATGATCAGTATATTGACAAAAACACAAAATCACTTTTCTAGAGTCCTGTAAAGTAACTCAACTATACCAAGTTTTATACTTAAAATGACATTTCCGGTTCTAGAAATTTTACACCATAATACCACGTAACTAAAGTATTTCTGTAAAATTACATCAATTATACTTTCTTCCTTCAAATTATTTTTGTTTTACTCACTCAGACTTCTTTTCATAGGTCTTAGAAGATTCCTCAATTCTCTTCTCTAATTCCAGGACAGCCTCCTCCTTATTTAAAAGCATCTGCTGTGTCTGCATAAGTTCTTCTGCTAAGGTTTTCAACCTGGAATGAACAATTATCAATCAATATGTTAATTACATTTAGTTTACACACAGAAAAAGCATTCATAAATCTAAGGTTGCAATGTCAAAAACAGTAGCCACATATAATTTAACTTAAAGTAAAATTTCAGTCCCTTGGTTGCATTAACCACATTTAAAATGCTGGAGAGACACATGTGGCTAGTCGTTACTTTACTGGACATTTCAATAATCACAGTAAGTATGCTTGAGCAATGCTGTTTTAGAGAGTCTTATTCATCAAACAAAAAACAAAAAGAAACAGAAGCAGAAAATAGAGGAGGAAAGGACTAAAGTAAGTACATACCTGTCATGTTCCAGGAAGAGTGTACAGTGTAAACATGATGGTTTTTGTTTTCCGACAAACATGTATTTACATTCTGGCTTTGCTATTTTCATCTGAGATTCTGAGCAAGTTACTTAAGCTCATTGAATCTATTTTCTGTAATTTGAGTTCAGGAATACTGCTTCAAAGCATTGTTTTGAGGATCAAATGTATATATAATGACTAGTATTGAGTAGGCATTGAGTTGATGGTATCTAGTATTATTTACATCTGGTATCTCATTTAATTCTCTCAACAATCTATGAGATAGATACTATTATCCTTATTTTAAAGAAAAGAAAGTGAGGCTCAGTTGTATGGCAATTTAAATTGATGATAAGCTATGTCTATTTCCACATATTGTAATAATGCTTTAGGAGTATTTTCTATATAGATTTGAAGATAATTAAACATATAAAATTAATATGCATTCATAGACCAGATAATTTATGGTTGCATTTGGTCCTGAATAGAAATATTTCTACCAGAAAAACACACATAGCTATCATATCACACTAAAATCTTTATATTCACCCTTATCAAGCAGGCCATGAAACCCAAAATATACAAAAGAAAATACTAAATACTCCAAGTCTATGAAAATTTAAATTTATTTAAAGCTAGAGAGATGATAACAAAGTCAAAAGACAAACTGTGAAGAAATATTCGCAGTGCAAATTACAAGCAAAAGGATTCTTAATGAAGAAAAATTCATAGAAACAAGACAACCTAACATGAAAATGAACAAAGAACACAATTGGAAGTTCATCGAGAAAAAACTCAAATATTAATAAGCACATGGAAATATTTATAACCTGACCCACAATATCTGCAGATTAAACAGTAAGTTATTTTTCACCTACTAAAATTGACAAGTATAAAAAAGTGATAACATCCATTATTTTCAATATTGTAAAAACAATAGAAACATACATATACAATTGGCATAAATTTTTCAGAGGTCAACTTGGAATTGTCTCTCAAACTTCAAATTAGAATATTCTTTAATCGCCGAAAAATCTGTTTTACCAAAAGACTTTACAATGTGCACAAAATTTGTCCACAAAAAGATGTGTGTTGCAATATTGTTTATAAAACAAAAAACTAGAAAATATTTAAATGTCCATCACCAGGGGATTGGCTGAATAAATTTTAATCCATTTAAGAACAAGAATAGTGGGGCTGGCCCAGTGGTGCAGTGGTTAAGTTCACACGTTCCACTTCAGCGGCCTGGGATTCGCTGGTTTGGATCCCTAGTGCAGACCTATGCACTGCTTGGCAAGCCGTGCTGTGGTAGGCGTCCCACATATAAAGCAGAGGAGATGGGCATGGATGTTAGCTCAGGGCCAGTCTTCCTCAGCAAAATAGGAGGACTGGTGGCAGATGTTAGCTTGGGGGTAATCTGCCTCAAAAAAAAAGAACTAGACTAGCACATAGTCACTAAAAAAATGAGGTACACACATATAAGATTCTTCTATGACATTTTTTTCTAATTAAAAAGGATGATGCAAAAGAATATATATGGTTCCATTTATATTAAAATATATGTGCTATGGACTGAATTGTATTCCCTCAAAATTCACATATTTAAGCCATAATCCCCAATGTGATGGTGTTTGGAGATGAAGCCTTTATGAGATAATTAGGGGTAGATTACATTAGTGCCCTTGTAAGGAAAGATACCAGAGAGTTTACTCAGGCTTTCTCTCTCCAAGCACACAAAGAAGTCATGTGAGTACATAAGAAGGCAGCAGTCCACAAGCCAGTAAGATAGTCTCACCAGTAACTAACTGGCCGGCACCTTGATCCAAAACTTCTAACCTCCAGAACTGTGAGAAATAAATTATACTGGCTTAATCCACCAGCATATAGTATGCTGTTATGGCAGCCAGAGCAGACTAATAACGTATATATTTATGTGTGTGTTTGTACGTGAATGTACAGGAGAACCAGATTACTACAAACCAAGCTTTCATCAACACTCTGAGGGGTGTGGGATTGGAATAGGGGTGATTTAAGGCCAAAAAACTCTTTCATGTTCTACTTTATATTTATCTATATTATTTCAATCTCTTATAATAAGAATGAATTTAACATTTGAATTATTAAATAATAGGTAATAGAGATGAAGAGGCAGAAAAACTATGAAACATAATCAGAAGAACTTGAAATATAGCAATCCAGATTATTCCATCTTTGTTTGGGGTTAAGCAACAAAATAAATCTTGGTAAGTTTCTAAGGGCACTACTATATTACAGCAAACCATAATCAATGATGCTTATAATAATGATCCAGAATTAAAAGGGAAAGGTTAAGATCAGTATCTTTCAGAATATACATATATTTCTAAGAGATTTACATCAAATCTAGTAAAATTCATGTTTCTGAATTTGATGGTAATATCATCTTCCATCATCTGGAAAATTCACTTACATGGAATAGTTCATATCCTGACTACCAGAGAAACAAAGCATTACTGTATTAAAATCAGAGGTCATTCTCAAGAAAGCTACATTTTTATTTGTATTTTGATTTAATTGTATTTAAAGACACAAAAGCCTAAAACAATTATTGTGGATAATAAGTTTTCAGTACTCATACAATATTTTTTATATTCTCAAACCATTGGCTATGGGTTAGCCATTATCTAAATCATACAGCCCTCTTACAGAAACTCAACTTTCTAAAAACTTATGTCATAAATTTCCAATACTGTCATATTAATTGTGACATTTAGGTTAATAAAAAACCAAATGGAATAAGGGTTACAGTTGCCTGAAGTAACTTTTCTGACATCTCTTTTTCTTTATCTATTACTGCAACATAATTGAAGAAATAAACCATTTCTTGAAATCTCTTGTTTAAAATATAATTGCACCAGCATAGCAATTTATGGATGACCAATACCATGACATAAATCTTTATTAGCTTTTCTCAAGATTAAATAGAGGAAGATGGCTCCTAATCAACCAAGCAAAAGTTATAAGCTTCTGTTAAAAATATTCATCTCTTGGGGCTGGCCTGGTGGCGCAGCGCTTAAGTTCGCACATTCCACTTCGGCTGCCTGGGGTTCGCCAGTTCAGATCCTGGATGCTGACATGGTACCGCGTGGCAAGCCATGCTGTGGTAGGCGTCCCACATATAAAGTAGAGGAAGATGGGCATGAATGTTAGCTCAGGGCCAGGCTTCCTCAGCAAAAAGAGGAGGATTGGCAGCAGTTAGCTCAGGGCTAATCTTCCCCCCAAAAAACAAACAAAAACGATTCATCTCTAATACACAACCTAATCCACCTCCAATCTAACATATCCAGCTGGCTTCTATGCAACTTCTTTGTTTCCTTTAATCAAACTGTCCTTCTAACATGTCATCTGCCTCCTAATATTTTACATATTTCCAAATCTTTCCAACTCACTCACTCAAAAAGTACTCCTCTAACATAGCCTCACATAATTGTCGTATACGTTCAAAGAAAGACGAAACTTAAGACTAAATGAGAATAAGCCAAAAATGGACCTGACAAAACCAAACTCCTGCTTAAGATGTGAGAGTATTGAACTGTTATTCCATTGATTGACAAGGTTGATTCAGACAGTCTAATAGGTTAAACTGGTGTCATTCCCTACGACAGGAGTCATCAAACATTTTCTGTAAAGGTCTGGAGAGTAAATATTTTAGGCTTTGCCACCAAGAGGCAAAATCAAGGATATTACATAGGTATTAATTTAACAAAAGAGAAAACAAATATTCACAAATATTTTACTGACAAATTCAAAATAGAATAATAATTGGATACCATTTATTGTAACACCAGTCTACAAGAAGGATAGAAATCTTTTGAGGGTGATAACATTTCCCTTTGTTGGGGTTCAAAGTTAGTGTTTATCATCAAAATCAACTATAAATGTTCACTTATTAATGCAGATATATAATGACATTTTATGTATTTCATCTTTGAAAATATCTTTTCACACAGATGGGTACTGCCAAACACCAATATTAATCCATAAGCATGTGATTTTAATTGAGTATATTTATTGCTTAGCAGGCATTTATAAAATTATATTGCATGCTTTTTAGCAAGTCATTACATTGCACATTCATTAATTCTAATTAAAACTTCGATGGGAAATCCTCGATTGCACAGTTAAATGGATTTTGAAATGTCGAAACATTTGCACTGCAGTCCACAAAATTCACTGCTGGAAATGCAGTTTGAGCTCAGAAAATATATCAGTTACAAATTTGGTGGGAATGGTAATCGTGCTTCATGTTTTAATGTTTGACAGCACACAAAGTAGTCATGTGTCGCAGGGATACATTTGAAGAAATGCGTCATTAGATGATTTCGTCATTGCGCGAACATCATAGAGTGTACTTATACAACCTACCACACAACCTACCACACAACCTAGACTAGATGGTACCACTCTGGTGGGACCACTGTCGTATATGCTGATCATCGTTGACCAAAATATCATTATGCAGCAAAAGACTACATAAAACAGCCTGACATTACCTGGGATTCAAATAATATTAGTTGTCATCTAACTGACTTTACTGCAGTGTAAGTTCTGCACATAAGCACTGTACTACCTTGTAATTTTAGGTTGAATTGATTAGGAAAATTATCAAGTCTTCAGCACAAGCTAATTTCCTA